GATAATTCCCAGATTCGCCAGAATTAGATTCCCTGGTTCCGGATAATTCCAGGCTGACGAACACAAAAGGGAGCGAGGTGCAGCACACAGCCTGAATGTTCTCTCTCTGCGAAAAATACTAGTCAGGAAAATACGTGAAAAGCCTAAGCACTGAAATTACCGAAGTGGTGATTAAGTGGCTGAGGCTCGGTTGTGTCGAACGTTCTCCGTTTCAGTCTTTTTGTCTAATTATCGGAGGAAGGTGAGTGTTAATGTCCTGCTGTCAGCCGCAAGTGCAAGGCACAGGGCCTGGGACGTAATTCCAGCTTGATAAATACAGACCAAGTAGGTTAAAATTTTGGTTCCCTTTAAAGCATCCAACACACCTCTGTTTATTTTTTTTAATTTTTTTTTTTTGGGGGAGCTGTGCATGCTCTAGTAGTATTTCGGTCATTGCCAAAATGTGAATAATGATGCCCAGGGAAAGGATTCGGTGTAGGAAGGTGAATTGTCATATTTTTTGCTGCTGCACTAAAACTGCCTCTCTGGGGATGCAGCCTGTATGTGTATAGTTTTCCATTTGATGTGTGAATTTATGTTTGGAATTAATTACTAATGACTAAATGCTTCTGGTAAAAATGTGTGACATATAGAAGGGTCAGAGCCTTTTGTTGCTCCTCTGAACCAGTTTTGTTGAGTTTTGGGACTCTGACACCCAAATAGCAGGAATTACTCTCAAATATTTTTCTGTTGTTGTTATTTGATTATATATGTTTTTTCTGGGTTTTGGGTAGATTTCTGGACCATATTCCACGGCACCCTTGGAGGTGGGGCTTTATCTTCCCTGGTTATTAAATCCATCTAATTGTGGTAAAACATTTGAATCTTTATAATTATTTATTTGAAAGAGAATTTGTTAGTGTGCAACCAGGAGAGTAACACATGGATAATTAGGGTAAATGTTCCTTAGAGGATGGATTTGTGTTTTTATGATTGCTACATTTGTAACTTTGAATTCAACACCAAAGTGCAAGCTTTTCAGGAACTGAGAACTATCACCTTCCATTTTAATGGCAGAATGTGTCTTTTCAGTCTGGCCTTGTTAACTGGAGATATATGAAAGAAAGCAAATGACTATTATGATTATATATATTATATTCAGGTAGACACATATGTTGTATTTAAAAAATCATGTTGAAACGCTATTTTCTCTTTAGAAAATGGTGAGACCCCAGAATGCATCACATCAAATCTTTGCATAATTATTATTATGATGAGCAGAGGGTGAAAAGCAGCATGGAAATTAATAGAAAAAAAGAACTTTTCAGGAGATAGGAGCTGATTGCATTGCGGAACATGATGGCATTGTAGGGGTTGTTACTGCTTTTACAAAATCCTCTTTAAAAAAATGTGTTCTCCTTGATGGCTTCCATGGGAGCCTGTTTCTCGAGCAGTGTTATCTAAAGGCAGCATGTTATTTTTTGGCCTTATCAGGGTGGATATTCCTGCCCAGAGAATGCCCAGTAACTGCTTACTCACTGTGCAGGGAGCTGTACAACTGGTAGCAACGCAGTTCTTTGGATTTAGATAATTTCCATTCTTGTATTTCAGGGTTCTGCTGCACTTACTTGGTGAAAAATGAAGGTTCTGCTGCTGAAGGATCCCAAAGACAAAGACACGGGACCAGATCCATATATTAAAGTGAGTAAACTTTAAAAAAAAAAAACAAACAAACAAATGGGTCACTTCACTGTTACATGATAGTGTCAGGTGGATGTAACTGTTTCAGGTGGAAAACATGAATGAATTAATTAATCAGAATTAGGAGTGGATGTTTGTAACTGTGATGTTTTCTGAGGAAAATAATCAAAAATAGGGGGATGTGTCTGAAATTATCCAAGAGAAAAAGTGTCCTAGAAAATGAGCTCTTACTGCAAGAAGTTACGTTAGTTATGGGGCATTTTTACTGACTTCACTTTTAAAGCCCTCAGCAAAGTACTGGTATTAAACCAGTTTCATTTTAATTAATTAATATTGATGATGTTCATATAGATAGAGCTAAAATTAGAAGAATTCTTAATATTCTTGTTGGGAAGGTAATGTGAAATAGGGGTTAGTTGGTGGTGGGGTCCTTTCTGCTGCTGCCTTGAGTCATGTGGGTCTTGTTGTAAGAGCAGTTCTGTTGAAGAACTTCTGTTTAACAAACAGGAATTATTCCTTTAGAAGAATGCATTATTTAGAGGACATGTATTTACAGGATTACAGAGATGTACAGGAACATTTTCAGGACTGGGGATTTCAGAGTTATCCTGTAACTCAGGAGGCCTCAGTTCCACAGCTGCTTGTTTAATAGCATGTTGAAATACTAACAAATAACGAACATAATAAATAAATAAATACTTTTGCTGACTTAGTTCTTTGAAAAAGGGGAAAAACTGCCCATTTCAAGAGCTGCAAACCCTTTCTTGATAGGAATTAGGATTGTACAGCCTTGAAGCAACGTTGATCCCAGTTTTGTCGTTCGAATTCCTGTCTCTTGAAAGCTTATTTGAAAAGGTAAGTTCTAAAAGATTCCCAGTTGTCTTATTTTAAGCAAAATTTAGGCCATGGTTGCCACGATCCCGTGTGTTATCTTGGTTTAATTGTGCCCTTTGTGGTACCTTTTTTAGCTGTGTATAATAAAATCCACATTTCAGTTAATGGACCGTAGACAGACTCAAGTGTTGGGGCATTTCAGGCGCCTGTTGAAGCTGTTCTGTTCCTCTCAAGGTTGTAAAGAATTGATCAACTTAATTTTTAAATTATTGTTTTTTGTTTACTTCTTGATTTCCTGTTTCTAAGTAGCTCTCTCATCCAGAGTGCTACGGAGGCCTAGTTTTTACCAGTCCAAGGGCACTGGAAGCCATCAAAATATGTTTAAAAGAGAAGAGTAAAAAAGAAGGTAAGTGCATATTTACATTCCTTGGTCTTTCTCTTTCAGTGTCTTGTGAAATCTGTATTTTATTGGGTTTTGTTTCCCCCACCAGTAGATGTTTGCAGTGTGACTTTTTAAAAAACAGCTGCTTCTCATGGTTCTTGTGGCATCCTAAAGGGCTCCTGCTGGATTGAGCTTTTAAGGGTTGGGTTTTGCACACTTGAAAATGGAAGGAAGGAGCCTTTGGTGCAAATTACTGATTCTTGAGAGCTTTTCCACTTGTAGTTATCTCATGAACAAGGAATATTTTGCTGCAGCGCCTGGTTTACTCACTATTTTCCTCCTTTAAAGAGAAAATAATCTTCTAAAACCTGGCCACTGCTTCTGTGCCTGCATAATTCCTATGAAATGTTGCAGAAACAGAGATTTCTCTGTCTTGAATTAAAAAAAATCCTCGAGTGAATGAATTACCCCTAATCTTGATTAGGACCTGCTGAGCTACAAATTTTAATCAATAAAACGAGTCGTTAGTTCCTATTTTTTGGCTCCTATCTGAGTTCCTTTTGAGGGCAATAAATCTTTTTTCTTTATAAGAATAGTTTCCTCTGATTTGTTTGAGTTTTTTTTTTTTCTGTTGTAGTTTATCTTTCTTTTTACCCCCCCCCAAGAATACCAGAAACTGCTTTATGCAGTTCTGTAGTGGGTGGGTACAGATTTTTACTCTTTTGTTGGTTATCACAAAATATTATATTTGGTTTTTTTTTTCCTAAATACTCAATTTAAATTTATGTCTGAATCTCCCTTTGCACGATGTGCCTTTTTTCCCTACGAGTTCTGGCAAGTTTTTGATGCCAAAAATGAACATTGCAGGTTCCATGGGGTCTGGCACAGGGGCAAAGTGTGCCTTAAAAATGCTATTTAACCAGAGCAGCCAAGAACTAGTTACTTAAATTAAGATGTTAAAAACATGCTGTAGACTGCTGTTTACACAGTATAAAAATACATTAAAAATTCATTTTGTGCATCCAGTGCTGCAATATGGAGTGGGAATATTAGTTATGATTATTTTGCTGTATTTTGTAGATTAAAAAGAAGTCCAAATAATCATTTAGCATTCGTATTTTGTTGCCACTTGCTTTAATTTAATTTCATGTTTTTCAGCCTGGTCAAAATCTCTTCAGCAAATGTGGAATATCAAACCAACATATGTGGTTGGAAAAGCTACAGCTTCTTTAGGTAAGCTGGGTTTAAAAAAGAAATCTTAGGTAATATCTGGCTTCTAGTACAATTTTTTGGAATATTAGCTGGGTGCTCAGAAAAAAATATGAGTGAGTTTTCTAACTGAATAATTCGGAAAACAGGTATTTTTATACCTACCTTCTGGATTTCTGCTGCTTTTATTGCAAAGTGATGGTCATTAATGGAAAAAAATCGGTCAAAACAGGAAAAACACCCCTTTGTTCTTAATTTGCATGTGGTTTTTTCATTCTGTTTGGAAATGAAATTGGATGAGGGGGATTATAACCTGACTGAGACTGTGCACACAGTCTCAACCCGTATTTCTGTGACGGGAAATCTGAATTTTCTCATCGTTTTCAATGCTTTTCCCCGCTCCTTTTGGTTGCAGTAGAAGAAATCGGCCTCACCCCACAAGGAGAGAAGTGTGGAAATGCTGAAAAATTGGCCGAGTATATTTGCTCAAGTAAGTAGCTGAAATGTTCTGGTTAAATTAAGGTGCCTTCCATCGTTTCAGGGTTTCCTAAAGATAAAATTTAGTGCACAGTGAGACAGAAAAAAATACACTGCTGCAAATACCTCTTGTTTGTAGGAGCTGTGAATTCAGCTTCTGGCTCTGAAAGACAATAAAAAAATACTTCAAAATGAATATACAAGATATTAATTTAATGAAATCTTAAACTCTCTAATGGATTAAACATATTATATGGACCAGTAGGCAAAGTTTATTTTTGCTGAAAGATCAGAGCTGTCATGATTGGAAATTGCTGCTTAATCATAAGATTTAAATGCTGAACGAGCACGTGGAGTGGTTTTGAAGAAGTTAAAGTGATGCTTGAAGTTTTGTTTAATCATTCTATTGTGATTAAAGCTGTAATGCTGATCTTTGCTGCATCAAATTATCAGATTACTGGGTGATTTTTAAAGTCTTGTTAGCCCACTTCCTCTTTTCATTTCAAATTAAAATTTCCAGTAGTAACAAGAAACTTTTCTAGGCTTAGGGGCTGATTATTTTTGGAGTGGATGGGTCAGTACAAGCTGTGAAAAAAGGGGCTGTGTTTTTGTACAGATGCCAGAGAACTGATCAGCAAAGTGTGCACTTTAGCAGAGATTTATAGGTAAAAGGAAAATAGGATTGGGGCTGGCAAACATTGCTTTTCCTGGGCACAGTGTTCTCTAATTCACTGGAAAATAAAACATTTTAACTCTGTGGAGTATTTAATGATGAAAGTCATAGTTGCCAGGACAAGATTGAATAATAAATTGTGAAAATTAAAAAAATTACACTTTGCAATACAGAAAGGCCATAAGGGGAGAACAACCCATCTCTCCTCTTCAACAGATGCATTAAAGCAAAGAGAGGTTCTAACTGATTTTTTTTTAGTGCTAGAAAATCTACTTCTGGCAATGAATTCAGCGTTTGCCAGTTGGCAGGTGCAGGGATTCTTTTGAGGAGGAAGACAAGAGAAATACCTGTTTGTTCTGTTGGAGGAATGTGAAAAAAATTCAACCAAACAAGTTGTTGGTGGCTGCTTGTTGTTGATAGGTATAATCATCCTCAAGGATTTATCAGATTGTGCATATTTGTGTGCTCTCCACTGGTTTGTAACAACCTCAGAAGTAGAGATTCAATTCTGTCATGCTCCCTGGTATTGTATATACTCATTTTTTTAAGGCATAAAGGATGTAGGTGAAAAGAACAGAATTTTTTATATCATTACAGTTTGTTGTCAGAATAAAAGGAAAATCTGAAGTAATGAGATTTTTTTGTTGTTTACCTTTTGTGCCTTAAAAAAATATTTCAGCCTAAAGGACTGAGAAATAAAGGAATTAACCCTGTAATTCTGGCTTTACTCTTTTCAAGGCAAATATTTGGTTACAGAAGTGGGGGATGCCATGACTTGTTGTGTTGCTCAGGCCTAGTAAGGAATTTTTCTGTCCTTTGTAAAACGCAAGTCCCAAAGGATTTGTGGTTCTTTGCAGGTGTCATATTGACATTTCAGTTAACTGACAGGAGCTGCAGGAGAACTGACGCAGAAAAATAAGATTTCATCTTATTTTGAAACCTTTTTTTGCATTCTGAGCCAAGTTTATCCTTCCATCCTATAATTTATAATAAAAATCCAGTGTGGAGGCAGGACAGTGAGGTGTATCTGTGGTGACCCCTCTGAGGGTCTTTCCATTTGATTT